ATGGATTCAACACCACTTAGCTCTATGCGCGGCGGTCTGCTTAATGTGAGAGGAAAGCCCGAAGTAAGAGGAAAGCCAAGACGTTTGCTTACCACATGATCAATAAATTGCAAGACCAATTTGATTGGCTTACCAAGCAATTTGTTCAATAAACCGAAAAAGTCACGCCCACTGACGGAATAATGTTTTTACTTGGCTGATAATAAAATAGGCGGGGCTTGTGATGCATTATTGCGCTGAATGTCACATATTTCCTATTGTTGTCTGACTCGTGAAGATCCGGGGTAGAATAAGTCTTCGGCAACCCATGCTTGCCGTCAAAGGCTTCATGCTTGTTGTAAGAGGCGACTAACGGGATCGGGTGGTCAGGCTCGCTGAATTGGTTGATGCATGTCATCGAATCCCAATTGCGGGGTCGATGCTCATGATGTCAATCACTGGATTGTCCAGACTCGATTATTTTACAGACCGCCGTCATATAGCTGGAATATTGCTGAGTGCGGCGTTAAACAACAACCAACCAAGTAAAAAAGCACATTTTAAAAATAAATAATAATAAGTTAATCGCACATGACACTAGTATTTATTGTTTAAATTATATTCATTACAATGATAGGTCGGCTCGCGTAAAACAGAAATCAAACCAACCAACCAACCAATCTTACCGTTCTCTACAGGTGTGTGTGTGTGTGTGTGTGTGTGTGTGTGTGTGTGTGTGTTAATGATTAAATAAGCAGAGCGGATCAGAGATACTTACAAGCGTGATCAAGGTAATATTACTGATTCCTTAAAACAATGTAGCCTCGATTTATTTGATTAAATTGTCTATTTGTCTTTCTCAGTCCTGATTGGTCTCGTCACACTGAGCACATCACGTGACAACGACACGTACCGGTCACGTCGGGTGAGATCACGCCGACGACGTACGTACGAAGAGCGATCCCGAGAGTGGCGGAGTCGCACGCGCAGCAAAGCGCGCAAGTCACGTCGTGCCGAGGGGAGAAGAGCCACGACTTAGACGGCCTTGACCTTGATGCCTGAAATGTGGGTCATTTGGGAACATTCGTCACAAACGATTGTGGTGGGAAATACCTCTAACACTGAGACGACGGGAAAACTTGGGACGTAAATGTCTATCATAGAATGTGTCCTGTTTTAAAACATGTGGGCATGTACGTACATACTAACTGGATACTGAAAGCTGACGGGTATCCGTTGATGTATGTGACAAATGTTATCCTGACTCTTTCATATGCGTTTTCTTCACGAATTCTTACTCTACGAAACTGAGACAATATGCTTTACGACCCGTGAAGATCCGGGGTAGAACAGGTCTTCAGCAACCCATGCTTGCTGTAAAAGGCAACTAACTATGCTTGTCGCTGGGGGCGACTAACGGAATCGGGTGGTCAGGCTCGGTTTTGGTTGATGCATGTCATCGTGTCCCAATTATTTGGATCGATGCTCATGATGTCAATCACTGGATTTTCTTGTCCAGACTCGATTTTTTACAGACTGCCGTCATTTGCTGGAATATTGCTGAGTGCGACGTTAAACAACAAACAAACAAACAATATGCCTTACGTTATCGTCTTTACCAAAGGATTAAAGGAATATATCGAGCGACATCCAAAGGATGACAGGCCTCAGGCAACATGTGACTTTTAACAGAGGAATACTCTGTGAACACCCATCTAACTACTACACTTTGATTGAACGTATCTCGCCTTTGTGTAAAAAATCCTACACGATGCTAAAAATACTACAATAATTTAAGCCTCGTTTTGCATTACGCATCCCTGAATGGTTACCTGAAAGACAGTATTGCAAATGTCTGCACAGGCATACCTTTACCGAAAGAGAATATATGTGCTTGCCATTGCCGGGTGGCCAGTCTTACCGTGATGAATGATTGGGTTGAATGCGGTCATACCCCGACAGCATGGATCTTCTGTTAAATAGCAATCACTGGTTCGTCTGGTCCAGAGTCGATTGTTTACAGGCTGTCGCCCTAAAGCTGGGATATTGATGGGCTGCGTTAAATAGCCTAATAGTTGAAGAGTTTGTCACGTCGGAGACCCGGGTTCGAATACCTACACGGATACAATCTGCGAAGCCTATTTTTGGTGTCCCCATTGTGATGTACCTGAAATAATGCTAAAGTCGGTGGAAATCCTACTCACTCTCTCATATCAACCAATTTCCGACAAATAGGACCACAGAGACGTGAGTATTGGCTGGGGGGTCACGGGTGGCCCAGACGTCTAAGGCGCCGCGATTCGCTGTGCAGAGTTGCGTCCCTTGGGCACGCCAGAAACCTATGATTGTGGGTTCGAATCCCGGTTCGCCCCGATTATGTTTCTAGGTTTGTCAGCACCATACCCGTGCTCGTGGGTTTCACCGAAACGGTAAACGTCTGAGTGCTTCATCACTTCGGGCTTCCCTCCCACATTAAGCTGACACGCCGTGATATAACTTGAATACTGTTAAAAGCGGCGTTAAACCCAACTCACACGCTCACTCACTTACGCTATAAGGTATAGCTGCCATATTGCTGACTATAGATCTATGTTATATAGCCGTAATATTGCTAACTGTATATCTATGCGATATAGCTGCCTTATTACTGGCTGTAGACCAATGCGACATAGGTATGATGTTATCCGATGTTATATCGTTTCTCTATTACCTACGATGTCAAACATATCGGGGTTAATTAAGATCGTATGTGCCCTAGGGTCATATCACGTCACGAGACAACAGTGTATTGACGTCATTCGAATCTTCTTGCGGCGTTAGGTCGGAATGACGTCACACAAGACAACGTCATAGTTGAAGATTGTATGAATATAATATAACACTTTTTATAACCATTTTTCGGACGCACTTGTACATACATTTCTGAAATATAGTGACATCTACGTTCACTATATGTAAATAAAGATTTCAATACAAATATTGTCTGTTCTGTGATTAATATCGACTACACCAGTGTCTTAATGATCACATATCCACCCATCTTATATTTCATTCACTGAGAGGCTATAACTTCTCTGAAAATAACATTTTGATCATTTTATTAAATTCCTAAAAGTAATTTACCGTGTAGAGTTGCGTCTTTTAGGCGAGCCACAACCCTGTAAGGTGGGATCGAACCTCGGTCCGCAGGGGTGCGCATCCCCCTTTTTCAGAACCCTTAAACGTTAACTGCGCACACGCTCTTGGGTATAATGTGTACAAAAAGTCAATTTAATAAAATAAATCGAGGCTCAGTTATTATACGGAATCAGTAATATTACCTTGATCGCGCTTGTAAGTATCTCAGATCCGCTCTGATCTGATTTTGACCTTTGGACTTTCAGCGGCATACCCGTAAATGCAGGTGTGCACACTGTGGACGCAAAAAGTGAGTGAGTGAGTTGGGTTTAATGCCGCTTTTAACAGTATTCCAGTTATATCGCGGCGTGTCATCTTAATGTGGGAGGAAAACCCCAAGTGATGCATGTCTCAGTCGTTTACCACTTCGGTGAAACCCACGAGCACGGGTATGGTACTGACAAACCTAGAAACATAATTGGGGTGAACCGGGATTCGAACTCACAATCATAGGTTTCTGGCGTGTCCAGGGGACGCAACTCTTTACAGCGAATCGCGGCGCCTTAGACGACTGGGCCACCCATGCCCCCGTGGACGCAAAGTGGCCACACGGGTTTTAACGTTTATGCCGCCGAAAATATAAACGAAATTAAGTCAATTAATACAAATAAATAACAACAACAATAATATTTACTTCCCTTGATGGGTAACACGTGTGAAGCCAATCTCGTAAACCTGCTGGAATATTGCGGTTCAGATTCTATTACTTACAGTTTTCCGTAAAGTGATCGTCATATTGTGGATAAGGGCGTTTAACATCACTCGTTCACTCATCAACTCACCAACAGGAAAAGTTCAAACTTAAAGTTACAATGTTCATTTGCCTGGCAATTTGCATTTTTCTTTCTTGCGCTTGCATCCTTTTGATTTTGAAGGAAATCAGCTTGGGTGAAAAACTCGCTCACGTCCAAATACAACAACATATCTACGTCATAGCGTTCGACAACTACGGTGGAGGGACCGTATCACCGAGTGAGATTGATAATATATCAATCGAGGTATTTAAGGGATCCAAACTCACGGCCAGAGGAGCCGGGGAGGTAAGGGACGCAACTCTGCACACTGTCTTAGATTACTGGGCGACCCGTACCCCCTGCAGGGAGTGAGTGACTACTATTTTACCCCGTAGTGTAGTCTGTCACAGTGGCCTGCATGGTAACCGAGCCTGTTTGTTTGTTTGTTTGTTTGTTGTTTAACGCCGCACTCAGCCATATGACGACGGTGATCCACATCATGACCATCGATCCACGCAATTGAGATACGATGACATGCATCCATCAAGTCAGCGAGCCTGACCACCCGATCCCATTAGTCGCCTCTCACGACAAGCATAGTCGCCTTTTATGGCAAGTATGGGTTGCTGAAGACCTTACTGTAACTCGCTCACACAGACCAGGTCACTCTGTAAAATGATAATAGTTGGTTTCTAATGCTGTGGGAAGATGTGTCATTTATACAATTGTCATAAGACCACTGATATGTCATCAGTAAAGAACGCCATGTTGAAAAACGCTCTCTAGAAACCTCAATTATGGTGTTACTGAGATACGTGTTTACATTCTGTACAAAGCCTCACAGCAAATGACAAACATAATTATGTTTGACAAAATATGAACGAGTTTCACAATGACTTAATAAAATTTTACCGAACAAATATTTGTCGCAGTATACTTCTCTTTAGATGCTCCCGCCCCGCGCTTCTGTAAACAAGCAGTAAACACAAACAAACAACAAAAGCAAGCACAGCCAAACCAAACTGAAAGCGTCAAACGGAATAGAAATACACAATAGGGGCAGAAGCCTCTGTCTGACATGCCCATACCGAGGATATGTATCAGAATGTATCATCAGACGCGTTAACCGCCCAGGTGCTGTATATCCCATCAGGGGGGCCAGTGTTTTGGGATAGACGCGCCAGGGTGTCCACCATCACACAGTGACCACTGCGGTCAAGCGTTCTGACGCCGTGACATGGACAAAAACCTCAGCTCCCGGAGCGGAGCTCAGTTGGAGGAAATGCATCGTTTGATCAGTGTAATTATGGGTGTATAATTTGTATAAAGGAGAAAAATATTTGTCTGAGAGTCATTCTACTGCAATCATGGATAAAAACATCGTGGGTTTCGTTGCTCTTCTGGGTAAGTGTTTTTCAGCCGTTGTAGGCCATGTTTTTATAACGACTCATTATGCCAGAACTGTTTTGTGACGCTGCTTCTGAATGAAATGCGCATACAGTTTATGTTGCTGTCGCGGTGACCCAGAAGTCGAGTTGACCCAGAAGTCGAGTTGACCGACTCCCCGAGCCAAGTTGATTGTGAATGGAAACATGTTTGCTAACTATTCGGCAGGGTGGATAATACTTGACTTAGATATAATCATCTTGCTTGGCGTCGTTCTGTATGTTCTGAAAGGTAAGCGCGATGTTTATATACTTATATGGTGTAAAGTAAATAACATCAAAGAGCATCTCATTCAATACAATAAGACTTGTCGTAGTCTGCCCCAGTAACACAACGGTTCTCAGAGTAAGATGGCGAAGATAATTAGAAAATATATAATAAAAAGGGAACAGTTTCAACTCATTTTGCAAACACATAACGGAGATTTTTTTTTTGTTGGTCAAGTTACATGTTTATCAAGCAAGATCAAGCAAGATGGTGCATGTTGTTACCCTGCCTGGCGCTCGGCATTAAGGGTTGGTTTGGTTGGTTTGATGTTTTACGCCGCACTCAGCAATATTCCAGCTATATGACGGCGATCTGTAAATAATCGAGTCTTGACCAGACAAACCAGTGATTAATGTCATGAGCATCGATCCACGCACTTGGGATCGATGACATGCATCAACCAAGTCAGCGAGCCTGACCACCCGATCCCGTTAGTCGCCTCTTACGACAAGCATAGTCGCCTTTTACGGCAAGCATGTCGGCATTAAAGGGTTAAAACAAGGACTGTCGACTCGGAGTCGGTATACTGTGTCTGAGTGGGGTGTTTATGTTGAACTGTGGCATGGTATCTCAGTGGGCTTGCAGTATAAAATCGGCGTTAGTCTGGACTAGTACAAGTAGACACACATTTTTATTTATAATATGATTCATGGAACCAAATTTTGGTATTGGGTTACGAGGATATTCCCCTACTTAAAACACATCCCTACTTTTACACTTTGACAAAACAGTATCTTGTACAATATATTTGAAAAATAAACACGAAATCTTTATCGACTGTATTTATACTGCGTGAGTCGCCCTTGCGTGATGCACGAGGAATACGTTCTCTGCTGCTGTTGCACGTGCACCGATCTCCGTCGCGTGCTGATATTTACAATGCATGGAACACGCTCTTCGTAGAGCCCTGAACTAGTATTGTATCAATCGCTTGCGCGTTGAAAAGACATGCAAATAGGTCATTTTAGCAATTTATTTGTTTCGTGTTTGTTGTTTAACGCCGCACTCAGCAATATTCCAGTGATTGACATCATGAGCATCGATCCACGCAAATTGAATACGATGACATGCATTAACTACGTCAGCGAGCCTGACCACCCGATCCTTTTAGTCGCCTCTTACGACAAGCACAGTCGTCTTTTACGACAAGAATGTGTTGCTGAAGACCTATTCTTCCCTGGATTTTCAGGAGTCTTTTAGCAAATTAAGAGCCCCGAACAAAGATATTATATGTATACCTGAATATGTTTCTCGTCAAAGATTTACCTAATCTCTATATACTAGTATTTACATTGTTAAAAGCACCCTGCTGTAACCCAACACTGTACATATTTGTTAAGCGTTTAAGGATTATGCAAATATTTGAAAATATTTAATAGTTATTTTCACACCTTGCTGCTTTGTGTCACCGTAGTTGAGGTCAAACAATTAGACGTCATAACATCAAACGATGCGCGTTCGTGCCCCGCTGTCGACACATATTTCCGACAAAATTTGAAATCATTCACGTCTTAAAACATACAAAAATAGTTCCGTCTATTCTAAGTGTAGATTAATTGACATGTTGAAAAATAAAGGAGCTTTTAAACAATAAAATGACATCACAGATGTGTTTCAATAATATTTCAAGGTTTCACCAAATATATAACATTTTAAGTGCGCTTCTTTCATTGTCCTTTGTGTAACTGTTAAACTACAGGGTATAATACAATCACGCTGTGAAGCTTAGTGAATAATCTTTTCGGTGTTTGCTGTCATTGTGCATTAGGACATGACTGTCCTACGACTAAAGAACCATGAAATGTGATTCTGTTACATATATATAGCAATTTTACTCATACATTCATTGATTATAGTTAACATTTTGAAATTACCAAAAAAAATCATTTATTATTTTCGACAACCTGTATTGAATTTTGGCCAAGTATGTTGTTTAACAAGTGAAATATAAGGCTCAGGGTAGTGCAAGACCAGCCGGTCCCCCGGGCAGCTCAACCAATATCAAACCTGATAATGACCCTAGGATATGATACGAGATAGATGCACAATGCTGTAGTGAGTGAGTGAGTATGGTTTTACGCCGCTTTTAGCAATATTCCAGCAATATCACGGCGGGGGACACCAGAAATGGGCTTCACACATTGTACCCATTTCGGGAATCGAACCCGGGTCTTCGGCGTGACGAGCGAACGCTTTAACCACTAGGCTACCCGACCGCCCCAATGCTGTAGTGAGGGATGAAGACACACTGTCATTTAGAAAGTGGTCAAATGTAACAAATGTTAAATTTGGGACAACACTTAGTAAAAGTGTAGATTCTCGTACTTTGGGGGGTTGAATCCCCTCCTGGATTCGAAGAAATGGGCTTCACACATTGTACCCATGTGGGAAATCGAACCCGTGTCTTCGGCTTCACGAGCGAACACTTTAACCACTAGGCTATCCCACATCTCCAATGCTATAGCTATGTTTTTTTAAAAAACATTAAGCGCTTTTTTGAAGCATGGCCAGTAACTTCAACCCCCGTTCAATGTTCAATGACCCTCGACCTTCGGTAATTAAAAGAAAACAAACTATATTTCAATTTATTAATGGTCATGTGAAATAAGGTGAAATTATGCCTGTCAAAGAAGTTATGTGATATTATTGCTATCTCGAACTAATCTCTGAGCACATGAAATATATATTTAGATAAATTATGAACAATCTTAGGTTGTTCATCTTGTAACAGGGGGCGGTCGGGTAGCCTAGTGGTTAAAGCGTTCGATCGTCACGCCGAAGACCCGGGTTCGATTCCCGACATGGGTACAATGTGTGAAGCCCATTACTGGTGTCCCCCGCCGTGATATTGCTGGAATATTGCTAAAAGCGGCGTAAAACCATACTCACTCACTCATCTTGTAATAAGTTTATAAACTGCAGCACACTTTGAAATGTACATATATTCAGACACATCATAAGAACATGGTATTCATCTTCAAATTCATAATAAGAAAAAAGAGAAATTAAACATGGATATAAGATGTATTTATTGTACCTATCCTGGCTATTTCGGTGATTGGTGTACAAGGTCAATAAACAGGCGCATCAACTGCAACACAAGGACCTAGCCATGTGTCATAAAGTGAGTGCCCGTGAAGATCCGGGGTAGAATAGGTCTTCAGCAACCCATGCTTGCCGTAAAAGGCGACTATGCTTGTCGTAAAAGGCGACTAACGGGATCGGGTGGTCAGGCTCGCTGACTTGGTTGATGCATGTCATCGATCCCAATTGCGTGGATCGATGCTCATGATATTAAATACTGGATTGTATGGTCCAGACTCGATTATTTACAGACCGCCGTCATATAGCTGGAATATTGCTGATTGCGGCGTTAAACAACCAGCCAACCAACCAACCAACCAACCATAAAGTGAGTGAGTGAGTTGGGTTTAACGCCGCTTTTAAAAGTATTCTAGTTAAATCGCGGCGTGTGTCATAAAGACATGAGGTGAGGTGAAATGAGGTTTAACGTCGCGTCCAAGATTGTTGCACTTATATAGCGACGTACATGCATGCGTGTGTGGCTGTTTGTACTAGTCAGGACTGATGCCGATTTATAGTTCAAGCCCACTGAGATACCATGTCGCAGTTTAACATGAATACCCCACTCAGACACAGTATACTGACTCCGAGCCGACCAGTCCTTGTTTAAGGCCCTAAATGCCGAGCGCCAGACAGGCTAACAACAAGTACCATCTTTAACGTCTTTTGGTATGACGCGACCGGGGATCGAACCCCAGACCTTCCGCTCTCCGGACGGACGCTCTACCACTAGACCACGGAAGCGATCCATAAAGAAAAGAAACAATGGCATAAATACTTTCTTGTGTTGGTAGCACGTTATGCTTTGTTGTCTGAGTGTCTGAGGCGAGTTGTTCTCATCTGTTTCCTAGCGTGTTTCCTGGTGGCGGTGTCCGCCTTTGATCCCCTCTCCATGAACAACCTCGGACTCCTCGGGAACGACCGTAACTTCAACAGTGGGAGGGGGCGAGGACGTGGACGTGGTAACTGGAACAACAACGGCATCGGAAACGGCAGAAACACCGGGAGAGGACGGGGACGGGGAAGAGGAAGAGGCAGGGTGAGTGGTATGCGTGCGTGCGTGCGTGCGTGCGTGCGTGCGTGCGTATGTGCTTGTATGTGCGTGTGTGTGTGCGTTTGGGGAAGAGGACAATTTGGCCATACCCACCTGTTAAAAACCACCCACCTGTTAAAAACCAGCAACTTACCGACCCCATCTTCATCCCGTCACAGGGGCGGTGGGGTAGCCTAGTGGTTAAAGCGTTCGCTCGTCACGCCGAAGACCCGGGTTCAATTCCCCACATGGGTACAATGTGTGAAGCCCATTTTCCTGTGTCCCCCGGCGTGATATTGCTGGAATCTTGCTAAAAGCGGCCAAAACCATACTCACTCACCCACTCACTCATCCCGTCCCAACAATTATTCCGTCCCAAAAACAGCAACTTGCCTATCTCATCCCCCCCCCCCCCCCCCCGAAAAAACCCCCAAAAACACAATTCGCTCGCAATTCGGTGAACATACACTTACCTCTGGACCCATTTACAAGGTTTTCGCGAACTAAAATTACCTGCCCTTGATTTAGTTTAGCCAATTTGATTGGCTACGCTACTACGTCTAACGTACCAATCAGAATACGAGTTACAACCCAGCCTCGATGTTGGGCTGGCGCTATTAACATCATAGCGGACAGTCCCATTGTTTACCATAGAGAAATTAACTCTGAAAAACTGACTGACACGCACAAGAAAGCCCTCAAAAATCCTTTTGAAGGAAAGGATGGCTTTGGTGTCTAGGTAATGTGAGTTCACCCCCTCCACCCTCACCCCAAACCCCCCTCCTTACCCAGTTTCGTTTTCCTTAACTCGACGTTTGATTGGTCGATGAAATGTCAATGAAAATGAAGGGCAGGTAATTTAAGATGGCGTAAACCTTGTGAATGGGTCCAGGGGTTAGTGTATAGGTTGTGAGTCCCTGAGATGTAGAGGATGAATGTACCCCCTGGGCCAGAACCTCACCCAATACAAGTGATCACCTGTGATTGTGTGTTTCAGAACCAGGACCTGAAAGAGCATCTGTCGCTGCTTCTTCCAGGGAGATAACTCCTCCACCCCATCCGCATTTAACCTTCTGATCTATATTACCTATCCCGTGACATATATGACGTCACAGTCTCTTTTTCTTCAAGTTATTGTTAAAGATATATCCGCACGTTGCCTCTGATGCGAACTATATATTTGTTAAAACCAAAATATAAAATATAAAAGAAATATTTTTTAGCAATAAAACAGTATATGAAATGAGGATTGTTTTGTTTCTTTCTTACATCTCAGTCTCAATACTTTCACATAGTCATGTTCTATTCATGTTCTATTCATAAAGAATCAATGTGTTTGAATAGGTTGAGCAGAATGATTAGCAGACAGAGGCTTATACTGAGGGCCAGGCCCTGTACCACACTGTATTAAGACTACAGGGGCGAAACTATCATTGTAGCAGAAAGGCAATTGCTTACACCTTTAACAAAGCACAGACCTGTGAACATCCAGGGTAGAAAAGGTCTTCAGGAACCCATGCTTGCCGTAAAAGGCGACTAACGGGATCGGGTGGTCAGTCTCAGGTGCAATGGCCTGCAATTGGTTGATGCATGTCATCAGTCCCAATTGTGTGGATCGATACTTTAGATGTCAATCACTGGATTGTCTTGTCCAGACTCGATTTCTTACAGACCGCCGTCATATAGCTGGAACATTGCTGAGTGCGGCGTTAAACAACAACCAACCAAGTAAAAAAGCACATTTTAAAAATAAATAATAATAAGTTAATCGCAATTTACTATCTACGCAGTAAATCATTAATTCAAACTGTACACGGTCGAACATGACACTAGTATTTATTGTTTAAATTATATTCATTACAATGATAGGTCGGCTCGCGTAAAAAATGAAAAATAAATAACCATCACATACTTCGAATGAGATATAAAAACACACAAAAGTAATATATTCGATTCGTTTTAATGTTCAACTTTCAATTGTCATCACAGATGATTCTTGAATGAAAGTCGAATATATGTTGGTGAAACACGTATATATATATCTATATATATATATCTATATATGTATGCAGGAAATATCGTTTAAAAGCATCCAAAATAATTTTGGTGGGAAGGGGTGGACACAAAGACCGCTTGTGAGATCGTGAAATTGGTATTGCTTGCAATTAAGATTAGCCAAGTTGCCACTATTTAAAATGATGTGCGTTACGACATCGTAGCACTACGATCGGTTTGTGGAACGTGATCCTACAGGATAGGTGTTCGTGTACATTTTCACAATAGTTCAGCGTGAAGGAGTTTAATCCTCTTGGTCCCCCACTTTTCACACCCCGTCAGTGCAACGGGACCATATATGTTCCCGTAAAAATGTCACATTTCAACTGAGAATTGAGATGTCCAACACTGTCTGCGTATATCAAAATTAAAACCATCATCACCCTGATCATCTCAGCTTTAACATCGTGTAACTCATATTTTATACAGTGCTACGGACTGCGAGATATGGTGAGATTAGTAAAGTGGTTACCGCGCTTCTCGACCTTTCTCTGCCATTTTGAACTTCATGCGAATGACGGCGAAGTTTGATTATAAATGCACCCATGTCGCATGCATTTTACTATCAGACAGCCAATTTGAAAAAGAAATCTGATCAGACTGGTCAAAAAGATTAACTTTTCCATTTTGTATAGTTATTGGCGTTAAATTATTGACGTTTAGGCTGCAACAGAAGATTGTTGATCAAGTATTGCGTATCTTTATCGACTGTGTGTCACAGCGATTTAGCACTGCGCTAGAGACGAAACGACTGAGCAGATTGTCGTTCTGTTTATAATGCTCATTAACTGAAAGTATCCAAATCTAAGATATGGAAAGACAGCTATGGTCGTTAGTGATCAACACTGCATGTTCATAGCTGTGCCGCGCTTTCTTGTCTGCCTGTTTTCCTTACGTGCTCGCCCGTTTCGACAATTACTGTTGCATTTTTTTATGTGAAATGACGAAGGGTCACGTGTGATTGATCAAACTACCTGACCTCGTGAACGAATAACCCTAACTGTTTCAAATTTTGCCAGGGGCGGTCGGGTAGCCTAGTGGTTCAAGCATTCGCTCGTCACGCCGAAGACCCGGGTTCAATTCCCGAAATGGGTACAATGTGTGAAGCCCATTTCTGGTGTCCCCCGCCGTGATATTGCTGGAATATTGCTAAAAGCGGCGTAAAACCATACTCACTCACTCAAGTTTTGTCGCAAAAGGAGATTTCAAAACGTGAGTCATCGCCATAATAGAAACAAATTGTATCAAGGTCGGTCCCAAATGAGCTTCCTCGACCTCAGGCTCTGTCGATGATACACGCGATACAAAAAAAATTCAACCACTGAAAACATAAACTTAACTTCTAAAATGATGACAGACATACCTTCTTGGATTTGAGTTGCTTATGGATCAATGTGCTGATAAGTTCGATTTTGATTTGTTTTTATTTTCATTGAAACTGATGGCGCTATGGTTTGTTTGCTGAAATAGTATTATCCGTGTGTCTAATTAACATGTAACATGCTGATTGTACAAGATAACTGGTAACTAATTATGTATGTAGATATTATCAAATACACATTGTGAACCTCCTCAGAAAATGGAATATATTATCGTAACACGGCATGGTTCGTATTTCCAACATTCTGCAATGGATATTCGATCTAATTAATTTCAGTTTTACAAATTATTGATGTCGATTGTACTTTCGATTATCGTATGATAATCTATCGCAAGGCTTTAACTTTTGTTTGATGTGTTATCTGTAGTGCCAGTAATGTGACGTGGATGATGTCACGTGAAACAGCTGATCTTATGTTGTGGTCGTATAATGGACACACGTGCTGTCAATTTGTAAATAATAATATTCTCTTTGACTGAACTGATGTGAACTTGAACGTAGATCTAGTAGATCACGATTGGATTGACGGCGACCGACGACTAAATGAGACCGTTTATCGCTTGACTAAAACCGTTAGTTCTTGGCGCAGTTCTTTTTAAATTTTGGTATGTTGACATAAATTATGCTTTTCATTGTAAAAGTGATTTCGTTTTGGTGTTTTAAATAGTACTCATTATGTGTTTTTGTACCCTGCATCATTTTATAAATGATCAAATATTTGACCAATGCCATGTGATTCCAATACATACAATGTTTTTAGTCATATTTCATTTATTTGGCATCATCTAAAATACAATTTGCAAAATAATAAATCTTGTCTAAGATCAAGGTGAATCCATTTTGTGTTTATTTAGATGATTTTTTCACAATTATTTTCATTATCGATTTTGCTAGTTTTATTTTCGTAGTTCAATGCTAAAAAACTAAATGATATTCTGCTTTTTCTTTTATAACAAATATATTAATTTCATTTATCTATGATCATTATCTATTTCAAACCTTTCCTTTTGTAGAATGGGATGAAATGGGAAAAGTTACTTGAAATAAACTATCATGTATGTCTTTAAACGAACACGTATATACCAAGGTGTAGATACAGCTTTAAAGTCGGAGTTTTAAAGCTAAAATTGAAAGAAAAGGATTTATTTCATAAAAGTATAAAATGTATCCAATTATTTAAAGTTTCAAGCTTTAAATGGAGTGGAGATCAAGATGAAGTCAAAAACTTCTTAATCTGTATTCAGAAGAGAAACTCGGATCAGCCGAGGAGTTTTGTGGTTGGAGAACTTCAAGATCAGTGTCAGATTGGTTGGGTGGCTTGTTGTTTAACGCCACACTCAGCAATATTCAAGCTATATGACGGCGGTCTGTAAATAATCGAACCTGGACCAGACAATCCAGTGATTGATATCATGAGCATCGATCCACTCAATTGGGATTGATGACATGCATCAACCAAGTCAGCGAGCCTGACCGCCCGATCCCGTTAGTCGCCTTTTACGACAAGCATAGACACCTTTTACGGCAAGCATGGGTTGCTGAAGACCTATTCTACCCCGGAATCTTCACGGGTCTCAGGGTCAGAAAAAAGGCAGCTGTTGACACTTTTCCTCAGGTAAGATGAATGTTAATTCATTTTTCATTTTATGTAACAAACACAATTTCCTTTTTAAAAACTGATATATTACTAAAATGTTTTTGGCTTGTTTTTTTCCAGAGATAACACTTAAACAAAATGGGCATTTTTCTTTCAAAAAAATAATAGTGAAATAGTGTAAAGAATCATGTCTAACATTAATACAACTCCAGTGCACACCTGTGAAATATGTTTCAAAGCAAACAGCAGAAAATCAAATCGAAAGAGACATAAACAAATTGCAGTTCATTTAGACAAACATATCAGTGTCAGAAATGTGAGAAACAATTTAAATGAAAACATTATCTCACTGAACACAAAAAGTTATATCACATTAATAATAGAGCTACTTTGACATGGAAAACCTGCAAACGTACTTTTCCAAACTACAAAGATTATCGACATCATGTTCCCCATTCCGTGCACATCACTGTGCGCATGCAGGCGTGAATCAAAGATCAGTTGAATTACATCCATGCATCACATGTTGCAAATCCTTTGCAAATGCCAAAGTGGGTGAGTGAGTGAGTTTAATTAAAGTCACGTCGGCAATACAAGTTATACAATAGGTATAAAAACTGTCGACGAGGGACAGTATAATAAACTAGCAATATCTCACAGATTGACTTAAAACTTGTTGTAGAACATTAAAAATATCTGATTATTGAGGTACGACACAATATAAAAATGGGGCTATAGATCGCCAGCAACAAGGTTAAGGCAAATGCCAAAGCTTTGATGCAACATGCAAAGTTTTGTCTCTTAGATACCCCTAAAAGCGATGGATGTGAAAATTATCAGTCAACTAAATGACCCATTACATTCGGAACACAGCGTTTGATCGTTATCATCTCCAGTGTTGGATTTGCGCGAATGCCAAAAGTTCATGAACTTGTTACGAGCGTTGTTGGTCTACCTCATGAATACATCATAATGTGACTTGTCTTATTGCGTTTCTTATCATTATCGTTACTTTTAGTTGTCCGTTTACTACGTGCAAATCGTAAGATGTAGATAGACAAAAATTTAATTGATCTACCTAAACGATAATACATAGCGTAGAAATAACTAATAATCAATTAATAAACAATCTCATTCTTAATAATATAAAGTATCTAATATATATTAAATTAAGAACACGTACACCATGATTTCCATTCAATAAAATTATATT